TCGCCTGTCCTCTTCCACAACCTGCTTGTGATTGTCCTTCCTAGCCTCATTCTACAACAGGTTATCAAGTTAATATAGTAAAGGAATACTAGAGTCAACCATGCATACAAAAAGCAACTCATGACACAAAGGTGCAGATTTCAAGGCTTACAGATAGTGAGCAAAACATTACAGAACAGACGTTATAGAATTAAGTGCAAAGTGCAAAACTTACTATTTTCATCTGCAATTGTCTCAACTTTTCCATACGCTCTTGATGCTTATTATCCATCTGAGAACACTTTATAACCAAAAGCTACCCGTCAAAGTGACCGCTGTTCATCATGCATTTTATAACAACAAAGAATTTAGAAAGTGCTTAAATAACTGTATTTTCATTGTGCAAACAGAACAATTTAACTAACTGACTAAATATCAAGTCAACTTTAATGTTACTATTTATTTTTTGATTTCTTGCTCTACGCTTAATATTTAATTTACCTGTGTTTAATGCCACATTAGCTTTATTTCGCCCATTTTGTACTACAATTAAGTACAAATGTACATTTACATTTTTTGTCAAATTTTCATTCCAAAGAAAGTTAATCACTTGTGATTTTCTTAACGATAATTGCAAATGCATTGAAAAGTCATTTTAATGGATTGGGGAACACTGCATTACACTAAGTGTAATCTTAACCAATAATACTAATTTTGTTACAACTTCATTACTTTAGACCTTCCTAACGCTTGAAATATGCACCTTAAGAACCTCTTTTAAATTAAATTAGCTGAAGTGAAACCGGACAAATTAGAGTTTTAAAACATTTGTCGGATAAATCTGGTCACGTAATATTCAAATAACTTTAGACTCTGAGAATAGTCAAGCTGTAACTTAAGTCTTCTGTAAGTAATCAACAATAGATTATGCAGAGTGGACTGCAAATGTATTAAGCGTGCTGTTGTTTGATACAATGATGAAAGTGAGAGCTTTATCAATCACTGAAACATGAGCCTGTTGGTAGCAATGGATAGCTGGTTGAAGGTGAGCATAAGATAATGATTTGAGAGATCTAAGTTTCATAAGTTTTAAGGGAAATTGGAAGTCTAAATGAGTTTAAGATTATTAGCAAAAAGGTTGAAAATTTGTGATTTGTCATGGATCTGCCAATGACCTTCATGTGGTTGGCGTTTGGTCCCGAAATGTCCTTGGCCTATAGAATAGAAGTTTTCAAAATGGAGTTTAATATCAGCTCTCTTTGGTCAAAAAGTTCCGTTTTATGCTGCTAAATATGTGCTATCCACTAAAATTGCATTTTTAACAGTAGGAAAAGAATTGCTTTTTCCTTTTCTCTGTACCATCTTTCCACGTCCGTTGTGCCCAAGTCTACTTTCCTCAGATATTATTGTCAACACTTCATTTCATTTCAGTATATCTCTGCTTACTGGTCTAGCTCGATGGGAAGACTGGTCTTAAAAAACAGGATTATGTTATTCACCCCATATTGACATACCTGACATCAGTGGTTTTCTTTCCGGTAAATAAGTATCGATGTTCATTTTAGGTGATAATTACCTGCGTTTGAGGGTTACTAGGAAAATTGTACTTTACTAGATGAAGAGTGTGCCCAGTTCGAATAAAACTCCAATATTTTGAGATCTGCTTAGTGGGATCTCTTAAGTAATCACTCATGCATACCATTTATCTAATTCAGTATCACTCGCATTGTTCGATGACTTGGGTAAATTTCCCAAAGTTCTCCAAGTAGTAAGTTATGTGTCATGATGTGTAAAATCAGGTTTTAACTCAAGTAACTACAAAAACTAGTGTTAACATAAGGGGTATGAAATAAAGACCACTACTTAGGTAATTAGAATGAATACGAATATAATGTATAAATTCCAAAGATAGCGTTTTTTTGATGCAAACTAATCAATTAAACTTAATGAATAACCATTAATGTACCTTTAATTTTACTTTTTATTTTTTGACTTCTTGCTATTCACTTATTACTTACTTCATTTGTGTTTACTACCACATTAGTTTTATTTCGTCTATTTTATACTCCAACTATAAGTTTCACAATCGACTAGAGTGATTAGGACATCACATGCGAAATTGTACTCCTCGAAAGTGACAGCTATTACAATACGGGTCCTCTCAAGTCATGCTTTGAAAATCTTCACACTACAAGTACCTTCCAGTTGAGTTGCCAATAAATGCCAATCCCGAAACCAAGAAATCGAATCACCCTGAACTCTCCCATACATTTTCTGCAAATACCAAAAGTGGTGTTAACAGTATTTGACACAAAAAACATGGAATCTATAGATTATCTCTTCCATGACTGCTATCTTTCAGATGAGTCTACTTCATGGGGGGGGGGGCATATGGTCAGCCTCTGTAGTTCTTATATTTGAGTAGTATTCTTTCCTCTGGAAATGTAAGACCAAGTTTTCGCATTTTCTTTCATTTTACATTAGCACCCAATTCGCCCACTGTTTACGAGTATATCGATGGGAAAACACCTTCCAATAACCCAAACTTTGTTTTAGTGACTTTACCAAATCAATCAGATGTTGAAACCAAGTTTTATTTAATCAAATTTTCGTCAAAACAATTACAATGATATAAACCAGTCCATGATTCAAGACGCTCCAACATGCCATCTTCCCAACATTTAAAACTCATCTTGGAAGCCATTTTCTATATACAGGTTAACCGGAATTTTGCACAAGTTGATATACTCGAGACGGTGTGAAATAAAACGACTTAGAAGCACAAATGGCAAATCATGAAATCCTGTAACTGTTCTCCTTTGGTAATAACGCAGTGTTCTTCACTTGTGGAGTAGATTTATGAAAAAATGAAAAGAAACAAGAACTTTTCACTTTTCACTCCTTCACCGCAAGCCATACGAAGTATCTTAAAATGGCTACTAAACCGCGCTTTTTAGGCCGGATTAGAATAGAGATTAAAGAAAGCATTTATGGAAGGAGTGGCATATGGTAAACTATTACCTTTGTAATATTTTTATATACACTGACCACATGATCAGGGTTAAAGTAGACTTTTGAAATATTGATATAAGAGATAGAAAGGTAATTATAACTTGTGTCCTATTGTCTAAGAAAATGAATATAACGTTTTAAAACTAGATCAGAAGAGAGAAAAGAGAATGCTTTGGTGGATGGGAAGGCAGTTGTTAAGTTACTACCTTTATAATCTTTATGTACTCAATTGCCACAAGGTTAGGGTAAAAATAGCCTGTTGAAATATTGATGCATAGAAAGGCAGTTCTTGTGTTCTGTTACCCGAGGAAATAAATCTATCAGGCTACGCTATAATATCCATAAGCTGACACAATCTTATAAATAGGAATCGATCTCTGTTCAAAAACATCATTGAGAGACAACTTGAATTTCCCCATCTTAACAGGCTTGGGGCTTTCTATTAAAACTTGAAACATTCAAATTCCTTTCTAATCAAATGTACTGGGAGTGATATAAATTCAACCTGATTACAGAGGTCTATAGCCAATAACGGCATATTTCACTGAATACAAGTGAATTCGCTAGTTTTTGCGGTAAGTTGGGATAGTTATATTTTGCCATTTTGCTTTAGTTCATACCATCTAAACTTATATCGTATAAAGATTTATAAGTTGGTTTATAATTTAAAATTTTGCCCAAAAAAATATGGCTGACTATAAAGCCATATTAACCAAAAATATTCATTTAGGTATCGTAAAATTATTTAATTATTTTATACTGTTCTATTACACGGCACACACTCTGTTCTCTGTGCTGTGTCTCCTTTGCCAACGCCATTGTCATCTAAAAAATCATCGTTTAGTTGATATGATCAATTACCGAGTCTAAACTTGTAAGTTTTAATTTATATGAATATATCATAAATACACATTTATAAATTGTAAACATACTGTTGTTGAGCACGTTTTCGTTTAAGATCAGCTTTAACGAAACCTAAAAGTTTATAAGTTTAAAAGATTAACTTGTCAATACGTTGCCAAACTGTTTTGCCTATTTGGTCTTAAATTCTACTTGTTTAAAAGAGAGAACAGCTTTTGAGTATGCTGGTTAAAAGAGTGCCCAGAATAGAGGTAAAACCGATAAATTTACTTTTCTAACCAGATTTCTAATATCCTTGAAATATGAGCATCAACCAAATATACATGGTTATTTACATTCCAGGATTCATATTGCTTCACTATTAACCTAATAAAGCATTAAATCGAATTATAAAAAATACGTTTACTCGAGTAATCTCCTCTAACACATCTTCTTCGCACTAAAAATATCAATTCGACTCAATTGAAGATATATTCATGCTCATGGAGTGACTGCGTCACTACATTCATTTTCCATCTTTATTTAAATAAGAAAAGGCAATTTTATCTAAGACTCACATGCGGGAAGTGCAGTGACAAGAAGACAAACCAAAACGAAGATGTTAGTCACCAATGGCCCGAAAGAACGCAGCAACGCACTTGACGAATAGGTGAACGCGATACCGAATACCTATCAAAAGGCAGAACAATATATGTACCTCGATGGAGAAACCTGAGGGTTAATTATTTGTCCATCAAATTTTGCTTTGTTTAACCGTCGGGCTTCAAATTACGGCTCAGTAACGATATTCGTGAACTTTCTTTCACTGAATTAAATGACCTCGAAACAGTATATATCTCTAGTCCAGAAACGAATAGTTATCTTTTAAATTTACATATTCTATAATTTTTTATTTTACACCAGATAGGTTAGTACAACTAATTGAATTGTGATTTTCAGCTCATCCCTACTAATATTTTCACATCTTATTCTAAAAATTCCTTTACCGCAACTTCTTTTTCGTTTGCCTAAGTACGTAGTCTACTATCTTTCAGTCTATTCCCTAACTTTATTCAAATAATGATTGATTATTAATCGATTATTAAAAGACTTACAGAATAAAGGAACTATTCATTAGAAATCGGGAATTAATTTGCCCGGGACTCCTAAATAAGAAATTTTCTGTGTGCAGTCAATATGATTGGTTTATCTGTTTGCCAGATATTAATGAGCAACTAACAAACTGGTGAACTCTCAAGAGTTTTCAAAGTCATTTACCGAAGCAGAAGTATTAAGTAGACCAGTCGTAATTGCCTCATCAATGGGATAAGTAATCTCAGCAGCAAACTCAAATCCAAGTGGAAGGAAACCGGATTGGAAAGATCTAGATGAAACGGATGTGAACTCGTATTAGGCTTCCTCTTCGGGACAATGGAAATTTGACTAATTTCTATTCCCTCTTCTCTTACCCAAGCAGACTCACAGTGAAGAAGAGGGCTGAGATGTGTGGACTGTAGAGGCTTCCCATAAATGTGCACCAACTGATCACACTCAAAAAATAAAATGCCACGAATACTCGTCTAGAAGGGAAAAAAGAATTTGTCACAATAACTTGAAAAGTGGTGGGTGGCCAAGTCTACCAAAGTGATCAAATAGGCAGCACTGATATGCAATTGACAAACCAGATTTTCTAACTGCCAATAGCTAAAGGAATAAGTAAATCAATATTCTATTTTCATTTTCCAGTATTGACTAACCTGTACTGACCCGTATTCCTTAATGTAATTCCAGCTACGATTGATCCAATCATTCCAGAGATTACCATTGTGAATCCAATCCAACCGATGGTTATATGCTCATCCTACAAAAGAATGTAAAACTATTGAGAATATTTAATGTAATATTGAAGAAATTAACTAAATTATTGCTTGTCAAAGGCCAGTACTTGTTTACATATTATAGATTTGAGAAAAAGTATTAATATCCATGACATTGTTTTTAGATCTATTAATTATATTCATTTAATACTATAAGTTGCGTTTATTCTAAACATTCATATGCAGAGCTGTTCACTTACGGGGAAGAACTTTGTAACCATAAGTTTTAGAAGTGTTCCATTTTGGAAGTAAACCCCAATGTTCACGCCTATAATAAAAATTTTTTAGACCCATGAGTTCATTTAGTTTAAGAACAAATTTAACATAAGTTCAATTACATTACATTAGTTAATTAAAAGTAAACTTTTCTCACATCATATCGATTCCAGAGGGAATCCATAACTTCGAAATGTCCTGGGTTTATGCAAAGGGTCTAGTTTGTAGTTTTCACGACCTGCTAAGTTTTGAACACCCTAACCCGGAAACTCCAAATGACAACCACTCAATTATCACTAAACTATGCCATTTTCGGCTCTTATACCTGTCTCTACTTATCGCATAAACATAAAATACAAACACCTTTCTATCCATTCGCCTTCTAGTACTTTCTGGTACTTTGCATTCTCCCCAACCCATTGTGTGCTTCATGATCTATAAATAGGTTGGAAGTGAGATAGTGTTGTCAGACCTTCACAACCTAGCTTGCATCTTTCTTTCAATAGCTTTGAACAAACTCGTACTCCCACTTTCCTCCCGTTTTCGACTGATCATCTTCTTTCCTTTGAAATGACTTTGCTTCGCATTTAAAATTTATCTCTTATTAATTTTGAGAAATCACATCTCGGTCATCGATTCAAATGCATAAATTAATCTTCAAAACAACACCTATAGAACCAACTCGAAGAAGTTTTTGTGCACTGAAAGGGACCAGAAAAGCGTAGTCCGAATGAAGTTGTGAACTTTTCTATCTAACCAACAAAATATTTTATTAAAGTATGTCCTCTTCCATCACCTATCTATAACACAAAATTTGGCCAATCAAATTTATTTAAAATTTCAATATAAATTTAATAGACGAGAGATAATGACTAACCATAACAAATCATAAGGAGAACAAAACTGAGGTTCTTAAAGCAGCAGAACACTTGATGGAAGAAATTTCGTTTCATTACTGCTGCCTCTGTGGTCATGTCATAATTTGCGATATCTAAAGACAAATATCGCCTTTTATTTACATGGTTGAATAATAAACACAGTCACATAGGGAAATACATTTGATCGAGTCTTAACTAACCTGAGTTTGAATTTGAACGAAGTTTTACATCACCGGTGTCAATCATTTCAAATTGAGGAACTCTTTTAAGTTGAGCTCGGCTTGGTGGTGTTTTTGGTTTCTCTTTGAAAACTGAGTAAAATAAATAAAACTATATGAATTGATTTACTTCAATAGCTTTACCATTGTATTCGCCACAGAGACACTCGCCTATCTTGACAGAAAAATATTATCAGTTTTAATTATCTTGGATCAAATTGGGCCATTGAAGTTAGTTCTGCTATGGGAAAGACGATTCGATTGGCGTCGAAGCCATTGAAGCTAGTTCTGTGGGTAATGTTATATAGAACATAGACTGAGTGGGTGTGAAACTGAATTTATTGTAGGACCAACAGAATAGTAATAAATAAGTATGGTTTACTTGAGTGAGATTCTGTGATTAATAGGTTAGGTCGTGATCCGTCTACCATAGATTTGTGTTGTGTTAAGACACAAAGTCTGCAATTTAGGAGTTGCCAAGTTGTAGGAATACCCAATTACACATTCGCCAATTTGGGGATAATAATGAACCAGATTATAGAAGTTAAGAGTATGGCTAGCATTTAGAAAGAGTTAACGGCAGTTTCAAAGTTGGGAACGTAATGTTCTGTTTAGGCCAAGAGCACAGTGATAACGAAGTGAAAGAGTATGAAGGTTATGGCACGTGTGTGCCCACTTATGTCATTGTGGGAATACAAAGTCCATTCAACCAGTCATTCGGAAAGAGACGCGCATGTGAATCTGAAAGCCGTGCACTTTCAAATAAAATGGGATAATTGTTTGAAAGACGGGGAACGATAATCTCGTTTAGACAAGTATGGTAAGTTTTGAAACATAGGGATATAAAGGTAACAAGAAGAAATCTATACAAGTTCTAATCATTGAATAACACCGAGTGTAATAATGATGTCAGAATGGTTCTACTTTGAATAACTCAGGAACCAATGAATTGACATTAATTTAGAGATACTTGAAAACAGTTCACATCTAAGTAAATAAAATTGAGTAACTGGGTGAGCTTAAAAGGCAAAGTTGAAGGGGGGGGGTATGGGGGTTGACCAAGTTATTCAAATGAACTCTTCTTCAGGCTATCGATTTAATTGAATCCTCACACACGAATGAATGAATAAATAGATGAGAACTGTGACGAGCAAGATATCTCATTTCATTTGCCACCTAACAATTAAGACATCGTTTGTTAAATGTGCACTAGCACAAGTAATAAGAAATATCAGAGACTGTTCATAAAAATTGTCGAACAGCCTAATTGTCAGTTTCATTGTCTTCTAACCTAGCTGCCAAAATATGCAGAATTTGGGTCAAAGGGTCAGTATGAGTGTTACTATTTCTATGAGATTAAGATGAAATTTCCTAACAAATTATCCTCTCGATGTACGCAATTGGGCTAAATATTTGAATTTTACACTTCCAGTTAACGGTCTTGAGAAAGGTGGTTAAATGCCAACATGGAACAGGTATATCGCAATGACTTCCCGTTTTCACATATAGTACTCTCTATGGGCCTGGTGGAGGTAGATAATTGCCGCAAAAAAGAGATAATCAATTGATTAATATTGATACATTTATCAAAATGAAAGCAAAATGTTTCATAAAGGATGAGGCTATCTCAATCAGCAAATCAGACATTTTGTAGTCTTTAATATGCATTCAACGAAAAGTGAACAGAGAAATCATTTAGAGCAGGACTTGCTTGATGCCTCATCCTCATTTCTGCGTCTGCCTCGTCTCTTCGTCTATTACCGGTTTAAAGGAGGATTATTGCTCGCCAAACCAATTAAAACTAAGATATATTCCCAATCAAAGCAAATGGTCACTCCGAAGGCCCCAATTAAATGAGAGGACTAAGAGTGGACTTGAATCAGGTGTATATATTTATATGAAAGAAGATTGTGGTTGAGGCAATAGGGAAGAAGTTGGGAGACAAGAGGGAAATTGGAAAAGGATGGCAATGAGTGTCATTGTTGCCATTTTTTAGTTACCCCTGCATTAATATTAATTTTTAATAAACTCAGCATTGCCATAAGATGCAAGAACGACATCGATAGAAATGCAGAAAAGTAATGTCTGAATATTGGGGTCATTTCATGCCATCCAAATGCATTGGTGTTACATGTCACCATTAAATGAGATTTCCACAACATTTAGCTATCACACGTTAGACCTGAGTTGGTTAGATATACTTTCCAAGTCAATCCTTAATAATATGTTAGAGTAACTAAATACGTCTCCTAAGTACAATATGGAGGGTCAGCTAATTTACAAAAGAGGACTTCTCTTGAGTGAAGAAAAGTGAATAAACCCACAAAGACCTAATGGAATGGCAAGAAAATCAGAAAGTCCTTATATAAGGGGTTATTATTTAAAGGATATTCTTACAATGCGTAACTACGTTACACCACTAATTAAAATGCTTCTTCTATAGGAATCTTGAAATGATTTGTAAATAAACTCAAGTACGAATTATGTGCTCCATGTTTCTTGCGCTTACGAAGAAAATTCAAAACCGATTGTTCCAATTTGAATATATTGCAGTTCAAAATAGACATTATAAGAAAATGATTACTCACTAATATTGAGAATGTCTACTATTAACCACTACATCAAAATGCTTCAAATTCTTCCTCGTTTCCTGAATGCCATTAACTCCTCTTCAGCGTACTCCATATCGGTCAAGTATTTCTCTTATGAGTACAGTTCTCACCTACTTCCTATTGATTTAGTCATAGAGTGGTTGAAAGACTAACAACTTAGCAGATTCATCCTTCTCACTGAAACGGTTATTTCTACACAAGTAAACACCAGTGAAAGGAGACGGTTTAGAGTTTGATATTACCTATGAGGTTATGTTACTTCTAAACCCACTTCGTTTTTCACATTAGCCCATAATAATATAATATTACATACCTAGTCCTCCAAAATATCGACCAGATTTGCCATATAACCTACTTACTTTTTCTAATCGTTACACATTCATTCTAAACCCTTACCTGTTACTCATGACACTAATTCATTAGTTACTGAAATATCACAATATGAACTCACAGATAAATACCGCACAGAATGCCACCAACATTCCTACTGCTCCAGAATACAGTAATGTCCGAAAGCCCAACAAAAGTTCCCCGAAGTCATTGTCAGTCTCTCTCGGAGGGGGCACCATGAGTGGAGGTAAACCGAATCCAATAGCACAACCGAACTGGAGAAAAATGTAAGCATTTAATATGTTAGTGGGTGGAATCAGAGGCCTTTAACTACAAGTGCAATGTCTACGGCAAAGATTGGAATGACTTAATTTTCTAACATAGGTCGGATAAATTGGCAGGCACAGTGCACACTTAGTAATCGGGTGATTGGGTGAGTTGGACATGTTGGAATGGAGGGAGGGGGTTGGGGGAGACGGGGTAAGAAAGGCATCATGTCATCGGGAACTTTTCGAATGGCCTTAACAAAATAAGTCACCAAAAGGTAGGCGCAATGACATTTTCATCTCCGATTGTAATTTAAGTGGTCAACTCTATCAGCTTGACTTCACATTGCCTACTAACATCCAATGGAGATAAGGATAATCATGACACCGGCTTCAGAGATGTGTTTACAAAATCTAAAAAGTATATTCGGCCCACAGAATCACATACCTGATTAGAAAACACCCCAATGGAAGTGGCCAGTGCAACTTCCGACTCACCGAACCACGTGGCAGCCAGTTGAGCAGGCATTCCCAGAGTGAATACTTGGGCCAACGCACAGATACACTGTCCCAACATCAGAATGGGAAAAGAAGATAGTGCTCCAACTGTTTCAACACCATGGGGCTGCGACAGCTCCATGGAAACACACTTTATACAAGCTCCAAGGGCATTGAGTCCTGCTCCAGTTA